CGAATTCCCAGATGGTTGATTGAATAGATAACATGGTAGACAAAAAACTGCATTTTTGGTAGGTGAGTATTCTAGCCATGAAGGAAATAATCAAACCATGAATGTTGAAAGGTACGCCGATGATTCACTGATCCATATTTTGGATAGTCTGAAAGTAAAGGTTGGAATGGATCGACCTTGATGTAAGTTCGTTGAATTTCATCATGTTAATTAATTTGATAATCCCACATGTGTGGACACAACCCCGGATCATGCTCCAAAAAACTAATATCAACTTCATTAATTTTAGTTCTTCAAGTTTTTGTGGTACGATTTGTAGAAATTGGAAGATCAACATTAGAGGTTGGTAAAATTGGAGTATCAACATTAGAAGTCGATAATGATGATTCGGCTTTTGAGTCTTTGTCATTTTTTCTTTTGAAATATGCATCAATAGGAATTGTCTTTCCCATCTACAAATCAAATAAAAAAATTATTTACCGTATAGCCTAAATGGTTATTATAGAAAATAAAAAAATAAATAAAAAATAAAAAATAAAATGTGGGTATTGATATAATTCAAAGAACCATATCATGATTTCATCATTTAAAAGAGGAAATGGCTAACCAGTCTAACCTGAAGAATTTGCAAGGAAGAAGGTCTAATACACCAAACAAGTGATTCATGTTCTTCTAATTTTGTTTGATGTCCTAACAATCTGTCAAATTGTAAGAATAAATGCAAAATTATTTATCAAACTAAATCAAATCAAAATTGACTCAATATCCCATTCAATTCATCAGATTGACGAAATTTAAATTTTTTTATCACTAAAAATAAAGATTACTAATCCCCAAAGAATCATCATTGTGAAGAGATTATTTTAATTACATATAAACATATATAAAATTATTTATCAAACCAAATCAAATCAAAATTAAATCAAATACCTAGTCAATACATCATATTAACAAAATCTGAATTCGTTTGCTTACTAATGTAATTTGAAATCAATTCAACCCCCCAAAAATATTGTTAAGAAATGATTTCATTACACACAAAATCAACAATTTCATTGAATCTCATGAGCTTGAGAAAATTTTATAGATAATAGGTAATTTAATTTATTTAAAATTAAAAAAAATGGTTCAAAACAAAACCCTAAAAAATATGAATAATAAATTATTTCCAATATTATATATATAGTACCTTGCAAGTTGTTAATTCTCCTGGTATAAATACACTACGGTTTGTATAATCATTGAGTTTGAATCAATCTTATGGAAAGTCCGAGAAGAGAGGATGGAATGGAAGAACATTCTCAATAGGAGTTTTTGGCCCCGTTTGGTAGAGCTGTGAGAAAGTGATTATAATTTATAACCTAACAGTTTATAGTTTATAACTGTGAACATAAGTTGATTTTTGACTTGTAAATTAAGCTTTTCCTCTCCCGCTCAAAGAATAAGTTGATTTTTGATTTACAAAAAGTTATAAGCTGTATTATTAAGTTAAACCAAACATATTAAAATAACTTAAATTAAGCTAAAAACTAAAATAAATTGAAAATAAAACCTACCAAACATGGCTTTAGACTTCATGGTAAAATTACTTTCAGAATTCACCTTTTGGACTTTTGCAATTTATAAATTACAAACAAATAGAGTCAGGTGAGTTTTTGGACTTCTTGGTAAAAAGACTTTCAGACTTCAACTACTAAAAGGCTTTTGGACTTTTTCAATTTATAAATTACAAACAAATAGGGACAGGTGGTGTGAGGTAGTGTAAATTTTTGTTACTTTATTGCTGCTGTCACCACTTTGACATACTTGTATATAATTTATTTTTTAATGGGGGGGGACACTTTGACATGGGTTGCTTAACAAAAATATATGCATATAATTTTATTTTTTTTAACGCTTTGAGGGACTTGTTATTACATGGAAGATTGAAGCGTTTTAGTGATTTTGTTATAGTTTTTCATGATAATGTACCAATTTGATGAAATTCCAAATTTCTATATGAAAAAATTGTTAATTTTTATGGTACAAATTTGTAACATATTACCATGGCAAATATTACTGCTCATGACATAAGTGTCTGATAAATTTCAATGTTTTATTGTTTTTGGTTTATCCTTTTGGTGCGGTCTCTTTGGCTTGTATGTTAGTGTTAGAAAATTTATTCTGTTGTTAAATTTAAAATTTAGTTGCCTTTGCCAAGTTAAATTTAAAATTTAGTTGCCTCTGCCTAGTTAATATGTTTTGAATGATTAGCAAGAGGAATGGATTTCAGTCAGAGTGACAAAGATGGGCTCAACGGTTTCTTTGTCAAGAACTACCTAGACTTTTGCAGCGCTATTGTGTTAATTTTTGTGTGTTTGACACTTTTGTGAAGATTATCATCAGTTATTACTATTCTATTGTCATTGTTTAGATGGATTAGATGTTTGCCATGTAATCTGTTATTACTATGATGCCTTGACACTTCCCCCACAAACATATAAATTGAGAGATCCAATGAAGTTTTTTTCAACATGTCCATCTCAAGTATTTTCACTTTTTCCCTGCAGGTCACAGTGTTCCAACTGCTGAAAGGACTACAAAGGAACCGAAGTGTGAACATGCCAAGCCACAGATTTGCTTGAAGCGGGTATTATTGAATAACCACCAATATTAGCCTAAACCAGTTTTGATCTCTCAAGAATACAAAGCTCTGTTATTCACCTGTTTGAGAATATGATTGCATTGCACCAACCCCATCATTGTCAATCATTTTTTTCCCCCCCTTGTATGAAAATTATCATGGTAAAAGGCTTGACAGTGGAACATTGTTTGTAGTGTAAAAGTTTCTGTTATATTGAATTTGATCTTATTTCATTATTTCAACAAATTAGGTTTTTTTTTTTTTTTTGAATAATTCTTATTGAAACATTGTATGTGTTATCTCAGTGAAGTTTGTAAATAAACACTATGAATTTTGATCCAAAAGGTCAATGAAAATACAAGAGATCTCATATTTCAAAGCTTGTGGATTAATGAAGAAACAGGTATTGGATTATTTGACTTTAGTGAAAGAGAGGCCCAACTTGTAGAATGAAGTTACTTCGTAGTGTTTCATTTTTGTGTCTCATGTCACCCTTGGCGTCACTTTGTTACTACGCACTCGTTCATGTTTCCATATAATACTTCGTCTTACTGACCAAAACAAAAACTAAAAAACAAAAAAGAAAATATTGATGACTTTCCCACGGAAATATACCATTATAATATGTTTTCATGTGAATTTGTCATGTTACTTGCAGATGTGTTCCTTTTTTAATATTTATACAAAATGGTTTAGAAAAAGGATCCTTGGAACCAGACTTGCACCCTCTTTCTTTTGCTACAAAAAGAATTTGTTTATTTTTTGTTTGCTCCTTTTGAACATTTTTTTTAAAGATGGATAAAAAATCACATCCCTTCATTTGAAATCTGTAAGGGGGAGTTTGACACTAATAGTAAGGAGCAATGAACTGGGGCTTAACTGTTTTTTAACAGACTCTTAATTGAGATGGGAAGAGCTTTAAATGAAGAAATGAGCCATATATGTCAAAGGTCTATCTTCTTGTCCATCACAAAGCAGTCTTTGGTGAGTGGAGATTTTTACTTTCTTATTTTTTTTAATCATTTTTATCATTTTTGTTTAGATGAATTTGTTTTCAGGTTAAGACTTCAGCTACAAATCTAACAATTGGGGCATCGGCCTTCCACCAAAATAAAAAAATGAAAAGAACTGGCCCCCTGTAAGCATTCAGGTATGTCCTTCCACTACGAACTCTAATCCCTTTTGCTCTTATTTTTCTCTTTAACCCATTTTCTTGATATGTGGCTGGTATCTATGCACAAAATTCAAGTGGTATAATTATATCATCACAAATTTTATATTATGAGATGGCTACAATGACTCATTTTGGAATATAAGGTTCATGCATAACATGGGTTACTGCTAGTATATACATATTGATAAGTTTTAGTTTATGTTTCTAATGATTCCTTGCATTTCCATTGCTTTTTTTGCACCATTGGTCGCCATTTGTTACTTTTCGCGACCAAAACTTTTGGTCGGCAAAAGTGAGTTTCCACGACCAAGTGTTGTTTTGGTCGGCAATAGATGTATTTTTTGCGACCAAAACTCTTGGTCGGCAATTGTCATTTTTTGCGAAAAAAAATTATTTATTTGTCGCGACTAATAAATTGGTCGCCAAAGCAGGAAAACAATACACTTGTAATTCCTAATAATTTATTCAATCCATAATAAACCTATAATTTTAAAGCATCACTCAAATTAACTGAATCATTAACATTCGACACAATACATAATTCATTAACATTCGATTTATTAAATTTCTGTCAAACAACCAGACATTGTTCCAATTCAAACTGAAACAACCAGACATCCCCACCATGGTGTTCCACCAGACATTGTTCACACAAAATAATGACAACCAAAGAATCCAACAACACCTTTCTAAACTGTCAAACAACCTACTTCCAAAATTTCTTAAATTTCCCAAAACACTAGTGTACATTATATACATCCTATTTATAGAACTACATTCCAATTCAAACTGAAACACCCTAGTTTTAGCAAGAACAAAAAGAAACAATTCTACGAGTAAATAATATGTGGAAGCTTTGACTAAAACAAGAACTCTGTGTCAGAAACTTTGAGGACATTGTGGACGCCAATAGGGTTCACACCTGGCCGAAAAGCATTTCCTTCAATATACCTGTGACAACATTTAATCAATTAGCATTTCACCTAGTGTTGGGTAATTACAATTTGCTTGTACTGATTGAAGACAGAAACTCACATTTTTTTTATGCAATCCCAACCACCAAATAGATTTCATTGTCATCTTTCTTTCCTTAATTATGTATAACTTCAATTTAAACACACTATTAACCAAAGAACATAAATTTTGATAGAGGGATGGAGAGTGAATTTGTAATAGAGCCCAAAAGCACAAATTAGATAAGATAACATTAAAGCAAGCTCAAGGAGCAAGATTGCTAATATTGTAATAGAGCTTTATAAATCCAGTTAAAAAAAAAAATAGATGCCAATAAATTTTAGAACACACGTGCAACATACTACCAAATATATAATAATGATAAGTATAAACCTTAAGATTATTGTTCTCCTGCTCCAGGGTTGCAATGACTCTTTTTAAACCATCTACAATGTCATCTGTTTCTGCATTCTCCCTTCTAGTCAATTCTATTTGTAATCGTCTTACTTCTAATATTTTCTCATTCAATTCATCACGAATTTTGTTCATCTCCATTTTCTGCAAGAAGAGAACACCACGTGTGGGTGGAAGAAAAGAAAAGATTAGATTGCCAAGAACCAATGAAAAGAAGAAGAAGAAGAAGAAGAAGAAGAAGAAGAAATGAGAGAGAGAGAGAGAGAGAGAGAAAGAGAGATAACATACAGAATATACATAAGTAAAGACAACTTTGAAAACACACAAAGCAAAATTGAAAAGTTCATGCTAGATCCAAATTCTTAATAACAGTTTTAAAATCATAGAACTCTACAGAGGTTACATTTAATGATGTACACAGTACATGGGTGTATCATATAAACACAACATACATATGATGTTAACGGAGAGTACAATTCATGTCATGAACACTACCAGATATTCATGTTTCATGAAGACCCACACCCTAAATTCCCAGCACTATGCTACAGATTCTACCAGAGTACAAAATCCTGTGCATGCACACAGTACCTCAAGTGATGTTTTGTTAAGCAATAAAACTTGACTTAAACCCTTCACCACTTTCATCCACATTTCAGTTTAGCTATTAGTTTAAACTTGTCTTTGTAAAGAAAATAGCAATCAAGATACTATAGTCAGTAGTAAGTTCCACTAATGAGAATATATTAGATCCTTGAAAATATAGTTAGATTATGATCTTTATTTTTCGCTGTAACAGAGAAAGGTAACAACTATTTGAGAAATAATTGGTGAATTTCAAGATAAATGAGTAAAAGTAATTTATGGTCAACTTTACATAAATAATGTCAAAAAGCCAAAATAGCCATCAATTCCAATAGAAAGGAACCCAATTCAGAACTCACTTTGTCCTTGTCCACTTTTGATAAGTTCAGCTCCTCTTGAAAGGATTCATTCAACTTCAGTTCCTCTAGGAATGGAAAAGAGATCAGGTGAGAAATTTAAGATGACAAAATGTGATATTACAATTGGACATTGAAAGAGTAGGGAAGAACCTTGTAATTTTAGCTGAATATTTGCTAACTTGTCACGTTCTTTCTCAAGTTCTAAGCCCAAGTTATTTATTTCCGACTCATGAGCTGCCTGAATCGCTGCCAGAGACATGTTTTTCTCTTCTAACAAATATGCAAGCTCCTAGAAAGCATTCATATATGTGTTGTCAACTTCAATCATTACGGACAAAGAACAAAAATGAAACACACTAACGAATCGACTTCAAGAGAGGAAACATGAAGAGAGAGAGAGAGAGAGAGAGAGAGAGAGAGAGAGAGAGAGAGATAACATACAGAATATACATAAGTAAAGACTACTTTGAAAACACACAAAACGAAATTGAAAAGTTCATGCCAGATCCAAATTCATACAAAGGTTCCTAAAACTAAGAAATTTTAGCAAGCTAGCCAAAAATCAATTTGGAAATTGTAACATCAGGATCCAATCTAAGACACAAAATAGGTGATACATATTCATTAACTATATCTCACTCAAACTATGATATATAATTGTCAGAACAAAACAGAACAAAAGGTACCATTACCTTTTCATTGCCCTGAATACCAGATTGTTTTGATTCTATCTTAGTGTGAAATGTGAATGATTTCAGGCTGCATAGTTTGTGCAATCCCATTGCTTGGTCCATCCTGTGTTATAGACAATTCCATTGTGTGTTTGATCACCAATAGAATGAAATTTTACAAGAGCTTTATGCTGCCAATTGGGCGACTGATCACTACTTCCCTGGACAAATTCCAGATAAGATCAACCAATGATGCCCAATTCAAAGATGAATATTTATATTAGTGAAAATTTTATGATAAGGCTCATCCTAAAAATTTAAATGTTTATTAATTTGGCAAAAAAAATGGAACAAATAGAATTATATTCCTAACCTAAGTTTGGAAGGACTACTATCTCCCACCTATCATTAACCTTTTCAGCAATCCTGATGAAATTGTTGAATTTGATTAGTATTTTGATTAAAATTATGAGAAGTAAAATGAATCAATAAATATTGAAATGAAAACCTTGGGAGGGCATCTGGTCTGGCTTTGGAGGCAGATTAAAGGTACAGATTAACATAGTCAAGAAAAGACTTTACTGGAATACGTTGCCCATTAAGCTCAACCTTCACAGTCTTTCCAAGGCATCCCGCCAAGTCAATCACCCGTTTTTTCATAAGGGCAACAACATCATCTTCAAGATGAGTCATATTGAATTTTGCTAAGTCAGGCTTAAATGTAACTTTTGTCCAGTTTTCACTCTCCTTGCATTTTGTTATGACAGGCTTAAATTTCTTTCCCATATTGTTGGAGAAAACCTTCATAGGAGTGGAAGGAACTTGCCAGTTAGCAAAGCACATGAATCATAATAAGGCTTTGTAAGGAAAACTATATGTACAAACAAAAGAATATGCTACCAACTTTTTTTTTTAAAAAAAATTCAAATCAGAATTTACATATTAGCAGGCAAGCGAAACATGCATGGTATGGCTTAAATTTGGAAGAAACCCCAATTGTCTTAGAAGGCTTTTACAGCCTTTACGAAGTTGGAAACCAGATAGCAAGTAATACATTCAATATTTGATGATGTTCTGCCTTTGCTATGCTTTGTCACTGGACCAAACAAAGCAATTGACGCATCTCTCAAAGGAACCCAACAGAATTCAACACAAATGAAGGTTATGTAATTACTCCTACTATATGGTTATGATGTAAAAAAAAAAAACCTCAGCTTCAGCCATGGAAGTCGTGCATTGATCACATGATTTCAATGAAATCATGAATCAATACACGTATTAACTCTCCATTGCTTTTAAAATCATATTTTCAAAAAACGTTTTTATCTTAAAGTCATGTTTTGAAAACATGATTTCAAAAACAAACTCGGTTTGGTATATAATTTCACAACGGCTCGAGTTTGGGAAATTTGTTTCGAAATGACGTGTGTTTGGTATAAAAAAAAACTATCTATTCAGAGGTTACACAGCCAGCGTGGTCTCATATTTTAAAATTTCATTAGGGCTTAGATATTCACACTCTGCAACGGATCCCCCCTAAACATACAGTACGCATATAGGCTTGAACACAGAGAGCAGGGAGGGAAGAAACAAACCAGACAGACTTCATCTCCAGTGGCATATTTCCCAGCATAATCTTTTAATAGCTTCTCAAGAGCTGCAATGTGTGTACATAGAAATCAGCTCAAATTCAACACTCAATTTTCAAAGCAACCTTAATCATATCATAGCAAACTTGATTTTTGGTCACTGTTTGCCCAGAAATTACCAAACTCTAATGGAAAATTTCCCAACTTAAAAGTTAAAGTAGGTTAGGATTTTTTCAGAGGAATTCTACAAAAAGAAACTCCTATCGATGATAAATTTAAATCAGCAGTGATTTTTTTCTTAATGCTTAGTACAAGATCAAATTCTCACCTAACTTCATGGTAATTGAAACTTAAACCAATAGGAAGCCATGATGCACTTTCAATCCACTCCCCACATTCATGGAGATGATTACCTATTGAATATGGTAATCCTAATTATGTATGTTCAATCAGATAAATTGATGCATTCTTATTGAATGTGTTGATTAATCCTTTTAAAGCACCAGAACTTCTGTGCAAAGTCCTATATTTGATACAATACTAAGATCATTTGAATGGTTTGTAGATCCTCATGGCATAAAATATAAAGTTGCCTCAAATTTAACTTGCATTGCACATAAGTTGTCTGGCTTGAAAAAAAGGAAAAAGAAAAAAGGATAGAACATGTTTCCATTGGACTGAACCATAGGTTGTATTAAAAAAGTTCCATCTTTTCAATATAAGGCATACTAAAACAAGGTATATTAATGACATGCCCATTTTCATTTGTTGGACTCCAACACTCGTCTTTAGACACTTCTGACACGTGTCAAACACGTCCAGTTATTATTATTATGATGATTATTATTATCAACTAAAATTTAAACTCAGACACACTTTGGAAATTTGAGGGACACATAACATTACAAATTTGAACAAAATAAATTAGGAACTAATAATTATAAAAAAAAAAAAGTGAATTTATACCCATTAATCCATTCTCATTTGAACTTTGGAAATGCGTGTTATGTTGTGTATTTTTATTAACTTTGACTGAAATATTTATATATATAACATATGATAAATATAAAAAAATTATATTTTACTCATGTCCCCATGTAATGTCCTGCATTTTTTTTGAAAACTGTTGTATCGGTGTCCGTGTCCATGCTTACTAGATTATAGGGTTTTTGGTAGAGGACAAAGTGAAGATTTGAATAGATAACAAGATCATATCTTCTACTTTTTATGTATTTATTTGATGATCCTAACACAAGACAAGTTTTAAAAGTAAGCTAACATCAATTACTAATAAATTAATTAAGTAATTGGCATGAGGAAAAAGGTTCCAGTCACTTCATAAAGTCTTCTTCTTAACAATGATCCAGCTATTATTTGCTTGATACTAGCAAAACAATTAAAATACATTATTAAAACAAAATTATCATAAAGGAGTTTGGATCAAACCGTGATGTCCATGGGTTGCACACGCTTGCTCTTTGATAGGAACAAGGAAACAAAGTATTGCTTGGATGATTGGAGGCAACAGGTTAAGAAGGTGAAACGTCAAGTAGTCAGCACTAGCAGGCTACACACAACCAACTTGTGTATTCAAACTGGTATGACAGATTTCTTTAAATGAAAAAATAAAATAAAAATCCATAATCTGTAGTTCATTAGGTAAAGCTTACCTGCAAAGCCTTTGCCAATATGATACTGAACCCAAACAAGCTTCTCATCAGGATGAACTTTTTCCCCAATATACTTCTGTACATTAAAAAGCAGGGAAATACCCATCACTATGCTAAAAAAAATGTTGTGATAGCATTATATGAATTTTAGCAATGAAACAGAAATTTTAAAGCAGTTATCTCACTCCAATACTCACCAGTACACCTATATTCTAAAGCGGCTGTATGCTTGAGGAAACAATATTTGCAGCCTATAAATCAAATAATAAATACATTGAGGATTAGTTTAAGTAATCAAAACAGAACAGGATGAAAAAAAAAAAAAACAAAATTGAGAAAGTAGAAGGAATGAATGAATAGTTCTACTAACCTAAAGTTTTATTACTTCAACATGTTATTCCCTTAAAGCCGGATAAAGCACTTTAACTAGAGCAAGGGTGTTTTAATGATATCATTTTCCATGTAAAATGACAGTTGCATGTACGTGTTGGACCCACTAAGGTCCATTTTCAGACTTTCAGTAGCATTGCTATAACCTATACTCCTTCCTCCCAAGAATTCCCTTATCTTTCAATAAGTTCCTTATCTTATCTAAGAAATGAAAATACCACTGAAGGTGCATATCTTGATCACAAAAGATCACATATATACCAACAAGTGGATTTGAGCACCGAACATCAAAGATGAGAGGTCAAACAGATACCACTAAGCTTAGATCACCGATTTTCTGTTGCCAAGCAATCCAAAGAATTCCTGTGTTCATTATTTTGTGATTGAGAAACATTTGATCTCATTGTACTCCTCACATGAATATAATCAAGTTGTTTGAAAGTTTAACTTTGACGATAGTTATATTGGTATGGTTGTTAGAATCGTACAATTCATGACAACATAAGAATAATTACCGAGACTTAAAAAGAAAAGGAAAAGTGAAAACTATTGAAGTTAAAAGACAAAGACAAGCTGCAGAATCAAAAGACCAAAATAGAGAGGATAATGAAACCACTAAACATAGCTTTCAGTTCACTGAGTACCAAATCGAGCTACAAAGGCTGCATAAAGAGAAGGTACTATAACAGTAATCAATAACTTGTTTAGTGAGGACTTAAATTGAGTGTGTGCATCAAGTAATGCCTTTTTTTTCTTGTTTCCCTTTCTGTTTTCTCTTCAATTGATGTTAAAGAATGATTGACTCCAAAGAGTGGAAAAATATATAATCACAGTTCAGAACCTGTCTGCCACGTTGGGAATGGATTTGTCAATGATCATCACAAAAGTTCACCCAAGCCTGAATGAATTGTCTGGACTGTCAAAGAACAGAAGTGACGGTATTTTGGTTAAACTAAACAGCACAGTAGAGTCTCTTGAAGAAGAAAAACACAAGTGACTAGAGAAGTGCTGTAACCTTTCACTGAAATAATGTACATTGACAATAACCAAATACTGAAAGCCGGAAAACAGATATGAAACTGGGGAGAGAGGGTAGGAAAGAGATGGAACAGGTTTGAGTAATCAAAGATTACAATATGAATCTCCTCAGTATTTTAAAAACTAGGAAATAGAGAAAAATAAATAAAACCACTAAAAATAGGCAAACATCTTGCTATTCCCCCTTCTCTAGAATTAAAAAAGAGTTGTTCATGCACTCGAGGACATAAGCAACAGAGATAACCAATGACAGTTGGAAGACAGTTGGAATTTGGAAGTAATAATACGAAAAACAGTCTTTCAAGGAACAGCCTCCAGTAATCACCTAAACTATCAAACAAAATTAAAGAAGAAGAAGAGGGTCAAAGGGAGAGACTATTAGATTACATAAATGTTAAAAATTAAATTACTTGGCCCAAATTCCAAGACAATCCAAAATTCATGATGATAGATGCAAGTTTATCATGAAAGGAGCTATGGAAGCAAAACTAGGAGACAACAAATGACCTCACAGTGAAGTGCAAAAACTATATGTTCAAAAGGGAACAACTCTGTTTTAAAACAATCCTCTGCCGTGGTCTTTTGCTGTAACATTTTAACATACAACCCATTTCTTTAACATAACTCCAATAACAGCTTAAGGTGTCATGGCCACCTAACGTACTAAATTTCGCATTTATATTCACTTCATTTAGAGAGCGAAGATTAAACCCCATCCTTCCAAAAACGATTAAAATGCCTTGAATTTTTCTTTTCTTTCTTCTCTTTCCAAATCTTTTACAAACCAGTTCTGAATGAGAAAGCATAGAACAAACCAGTAGATAATCATGAATATAACACAGTTCCTTACTAATGAACATGATCTAGAACCTTGACTAAATACTCCTCTTAGATTGTAATAAAGAAGGTTTCTTCTCTAGCAATTTTACACTAGAAGTCAAACCCTACTGAAAATTTCAGAAGGGTAGAATTTAGAAACAATACAATGGGAGACACAATAAAAGAGTTTATCAAATCTTATTTCAATCCTATAATTTACTATCTGTGCAAAAGAAATCACTCATATAAAGGGCACAAGGTGGAAATCTAAACTAGAATGACAGACTATACAACACAAAAATACAGATTCAAAATAGCAAACAAACAGGTACAAAAA